ATATATATATATATAGATAGATAGATAGATAGATAGATAGATAGATAGATAGATAGATAGATGTATATAAATGTATATATAAAATCTATGCTTTCAATTGAGGAATAAGAAGAAAGGAGTTATTACTGTTATAACAATTACAAATCTATTACACATTGGTTATCTATCCACTGGATTTCATTGTCTCCAAATATCTCGTCTAAATTATTTGGTGATTATAACCTCCCTGTCATCAAAAACGAGATCTAATTACAGGATCTTTTCAATATTAGAAATATTTTTTAATGTATAGAGAGAGGAGTGTGTGTCTATATATATATAACATATGCTTTCAATTGAGTTCCCTTATGTGCTATGGGTTCTTGTAGGAATCGAACCCGGGTCAGAAGGGACTTACTTCTCAACTGTTTGCCAACTTGCCATATATATAACATATGCTTTCAATTGAGGAATAAAATGAAAGGAGGATCTCCTGTTACAACAATTACAAATCTATCCACTGGATTTCATTGTCTCCATGTTTGTTTCTGATGTCAGGGAGGTTACAAGTTTTCAAATAATTTAGATGAGATATTTACAAGCTGATTATATGGAATAATTGTCATCCACTCCTTCCCTGATTACATGATTATACAAATCATTAACACTTCACTGATGCATTCATGGCATTTTCTCGATCTAATCATTGAAACCAGTTATGATTTCGTAGACGATATTGTGCTACCTATTGGTTTGTCTACTAGTTTTTTAGTTCTCTCATTTCAACAACTGGAAAGGAAAAGCACTCTTGATTCTCTTTCTTCTTCTGTTATCAAATGCATTATATTTGTTGGAGAAATATTTCTTTATTATTTTTTTCTCTTGACTGTACAGTTGGAGAAGGGGACTGGTGGCATGACACGTGGACATCCTCATGTCATAGAAATTCCGCCCCCACGGCCTAAAAGGAAACCATACAGTTCATATCCTGAAATGATTGGTGCAACTTCACAAAATCCCTCGGCGGAAGTAGAAGGGAAAAGCTTGTCAAAGGCTTTTGTATTGATAGGAACTGATAAAGTGGCAATGGATACTAAGAGTAAGGTAAAAAAGTCATGAAGTTTCTCCCATTCTACTTATTTTTTTCTTAAGAATGTCATGCATGGCCTTGAAACAAAATAAGGAGCAGGCATTCGGAGAAGGCACTTCATCCACTTCTGTCTGTTTTCGTCGCAACGGAACTTCAGATCCTTCAGAGCAGATGCCAACACTGGAAGAGTTAAAAGAAACTAAGAAAATAACGAAATCACCGAGGAAAAACGATGCTGATTTACAAAACCTTGGAATGAGTGAATATTTTACAGACTCTCGGTTTGGTTTCAATACTGTAGATAAGTGGCAACTACTAAAGCAGATGGAGAAGCCATTTACATCATCAACGGACAATCTACAAGGTGATCAAAACCAGGAAAGAATTCCTGTTCAATTGGAAGGTACAAAATATTCTAGTGAAGGTATCACAAAATCACTGTCAGCTCAACCAGAACCAAATGCAGATCTTAACTTATCACTTGATTCTACAAGAAGAGCAACACATACGACAAAAAACTTGATGTCTTCTGTCCCTCAAGCAGTTCCATCAATTTCACCTAATAACCAGCTCAATATTGACGACAATTCATTTACCGCACTCATAAACTTAACCAACTATTTTCCAAGCCTCCTTGCATCAGCCTTGTCACAGAACCCAGCAATCCATCAAGCAGCTAGCGTTGCAGCTGCCTCACTGCCACCCACCTTCGTGGATTTCTCCATTCACTCAAATACAAAGTTAGTTAGCGAAGCTCTAGAGAAAGAATCCAGCATATCCTGCATATCAGCTATTGTAGCAGCCACAGTTGCTGCTGCTTCTGCTTGGTGGAGGGTTCATGGGCTATTGCCTTCTCAATTTCAGCCAAACCATGCATTTACACAAGCAATGGCACGAGCCATAGAGTCCGCCCAAGTTCATGAAGATAACACGAACTCGAAAGAAAATATTGGCCAAACAAACAAGCAGAAAGCTCCACAAATCGATTTTCCAGAACAGAATGAGACGAACAGAATAACACAACCTTGTTCTGCTTTATTAGAGCCCTCCTCATCACCAGATTCCTGCGAAAGCTCAAAAATGAACCGGCCTCCAAAATCTACCAAATGCGCACTCTCATCAATTTCTGGAGTGCATGATGAAAATCATGCCCCTGGAAAGAAGAAACATGATCCGTCCTCTTGTGATTCTAACACAACTCCCAGCAGCGAAGTCGAGAAAGATGCCGGTTTGAACAATAAAGAAGCCAAGGGAGTCAATGAACAAGGTGAACAAGGTCCATCCATTGTTCAAGGGTTTAGAGATACTCTGGGGAATAGCAAGTCATGTTCTGAAGGTCTCAAACAGGTTATCATCTAATGAAACTAAAATTTTGATTCAGTACATGTCTGCAAGTGTTATGTGCTACACATTGCACACAATTCTAATGTATTTGCATATTTCACACCTGAACAAACATTCGTATTTACACACATAGAACTTAAATCCTAATTATCATATCAAAAATAGCACTACTATCACTTATTATAAATGAAATACATATTTCCATGCATAGATTTAAAGCGCCAAAATGCTACATACGTAGTAAATATGAACGTATTGGTGTGAGATATATCAATACATAAGCATCATGGTAGGTAGGTAAATTTCAACTTATTTTAAACAATTTTCAGTGTCCGCTAGCTTTTGAAGAGCTGCTTTCTCGCGGGGCACTGCCACAGAGTTTGTCGCCGCCGCCGCATCAGGATGTCAACTGGGCCATAAATTCAGAACATGAGGAAGCTCTCGGGTTGCAGATCGACCTCAACACGAAAGCATCTACCGCGACTTGCAGCATTTCCAAAGCAAGAACGCAGAGTTGCAGCAAAATGGGATCCGAAGCTGTAACATTCAAGAGGCTCTTTGTAGACACCGAGGAGGAGAACAACACTGGCCAAGAGGAAGGCAGTAGAAAGAGAGCTTCTCTGTGAGGAGAATCACTTTGTTCAACGTACATTCTCTCTTAGCATTTTAGCTTTGGATTAAATTTTAGAGCTTAATAAATCATGGAGACTCGCACGTTGTTAGTCTTGATTCCTTAATTCTTTGCTATTGTAGCTGCTTGCCTTCGGGGAACCTCCCCGTCGAAGGAAATTAATATGGACCATGCTTGGCACGATTCACTAAATTCTTTGCCATTGTACGAGATTAAATAATATGTTGATTAACGTGGACCAAAACATATTTGGGTTCCCAATTTAATTATTTGGTTTCTTTATATATGAATATCATGTGATGCTAAGGATAATAGTTCTAGATACATGATCACATAAATATTTAAATTCACGGCAATTGAATCAAAAGATTCAGAATTTATTGGTTATAGAGATGATGTTAAATGAAATGAATTATAATTGATGTAGTTTTGTTAATTTGTAATTTAAAGAAAAACTTGATTTCAATTAGTCAACCATGCGATGAAGGTTTAGAAGTTACATTTTGATTCAACACATTACATGATCAATGGACAAAAATATTTTAATTATCTGTTCAAACGCAAAAAGGTCTATCAAACAACAAACATCAAGGTTAAATTTTTTTTAAATGCTATGTTAAGTTAATAGAAAAGGTTATCAAAATATGTGAATAACTAGACCTTTATGCCAATGTGTGTTACATATTTTTATTGATGGTTGCCAATTGAGGATAATTCTATCCATTAATGTTCGCCGAGACTTACAAGAGATTGAGTCTACTTCTTAAAAATTTAATATTCTTAGGTTTTTGCAATACTGATTGTTAACTCTATTGTTCTACTAGGTTTTCATTGAAATTGTTAGATCATAGTTGGTTTTAAAACATATTTGAGCAAAATGTATTCAAATGAAGACCATAGTTAAGTAACACAACAAATTTTCATTAAAATTTCAAACAAAAAGCATAAAGTGCATGGAGCTTTAAAAAAAAACATAATTTTGACTACGGGTCTATTTGGAGCAGCTGCAGCTTATTAAAAAGTGACTGTGAAACAGCTAAAAATAATTTAATATTTAAAAAACTACAGTGGCTATTATAATTTCTTTTTCTTAAAAAAAAAAAAGTCATAAAAAAACTAGAAAATTGCCACCGCACCTAGACAAGATAGGTGGAATACACATATTTCAACGGTAAATTTTTAAAAAAACTGTCAAAATACAGTTTATCGAAACATACAAAACTGCGGTGTGGTACCAAACTGCTGCCTCAAGCGGAGTTTCTAAAAAAATTCAATAAAAATAAACACTAAAATATAAATACAACACAAGTCAATGTTGAAGTAAGAAGAATATAATCTATTTGCACAATCTCACTAAAATGATTTTCTATCTTTTATAAATGTTTCATCAAAATTCTTTATTTTTTTCATTTTGAATAATTTCAACCCCATCCACTTCCAAAACTGAAATAGGCCAGTCCGGTCGAACCGGTCGGGGGCGTGCTGGACTCCGAGCGGTCCGGCTATCGCCCGGAAGACCGATGCCTCGTGCTCGGTCCCTCCCCTTTCTGACCTTTTACCCGTCCCGGGAGGACCTTCGATGAGGAAAGGGGA